CATTTGCTACATGTTGTCACTGCATTTTCTATATCAAATACACATTTAGTACCTTTAAAATGAACACATTGCATTAACAAGGAGACACAAAGGTAGTCTATAATATATCCATCTGCATGGCAACAATTTCAACTGAAACAAAAATTACAATATTAATATTTCTTTGAATGCCTCTGGCAAATGTCATCATGTCAAGATCCATTGACCACTTCAATATATTTGATTTTTATGCAATGCATATTGCACAACAAATAGAGCACTTATTTCATTTCATGAAAATGCCTAGGTTACTTTTTATACTGCATGACATCTAACCAGTTTCCGAAGCAGGCCTAGCCCTCATATGATTTATGTGTAAACACATCTCTACTCACAGGTAAAGGTAAATAGGATGGCAAGTACATGTGACAACCTTTTACAAAGTTTCTGAATTTTGGTTTAAAAATTAAAATATCTGATTTGTGCTGAAGTCTTTAGCTCACATGAAAAGAAAACATCTTTTCCTCGGAACTGGACAATAACTCCATTTGAACATTGCAAACACTTTTTTTTTTATAATAGCTTTAACTGGTACAAAAGTTTTCTGTTAATAAGGGAAATAAACACTCAGTTCAATATTGTTTGTCAAGTAGGAAACAATGTTCAAATATAATGTTATTACTTTGTTTAGCAGCCTGTTAACTGTATTAATGGTGGATAAGTGGGGTAACATCCAGCGATGAGTGACAACATGTCAAAACTGTCAGGTTGTGGAGGTTTCTTATATTGTGGGTGATGCTCCCTTGGAGTTAAACCATTGCAGTTAAATCATTAGATTTCTTTCTTTATACAGTATAGTTTTTAATTATATTTCTCTTGTTATTTTTCATTACTCTTGCATGTTTTGTTTTTTTTTTTTTTTTTTGCTCTCTATATATCAATCCTCGTCTCCATCGTCCGCCTGCATCTCCTCTTGTTGCTGCAGCTCGCATGCCCTTTTCTCCCGCTGTTTCTCCTGGATCTTCTTCATCTCCTCGGCGTATTTACAGAAAGTATTCCCAAATTTAGACCACACTTTATAGGGTACCGTAATTGAGTTGCGGTACGTTGGCTTCACCTCGCTTACCCTCATGAACACACCATACTTATTGGATCCGACGTCGAAGAAAAAGCGTTTGTTGTCCACAGTCAATGATGACCCTTCGGGCAACTCTGCAGGTTCGTCCTCTACACCGTAATCGTCAATAAGTTTAGCCAAAGCGTCACGAAACTCAATAAGTCCCTGGGCAGGCAAAGCAATCGTCTGGCCTTGCGTGGATCCCAAACCGGGCCCCCGGTTAACGGTCTGTCGAATCCTCAGAAATCGTCCCCTTTGGTTCTCTTTCAGATCCATGTAGTATTTCCGATTTTCTCGGACCAAGAACTCGCTTTTAAGTGCTCGTCTGGGCTCGTCTTGTACCATTCCCGGGTTGCTCGGACCCAGCTGGGCATAATGTTCGATGAAGTCCCCCAAGTAGTCACGGAACTCGACCGCCACGGACATGGAGAGAGTCAGGCGGCTCTTGTTTCCACCGGCCCCGACTTCTGCTATCTTTAAGAAGCGGCCTTTTGCGTTCTGCTTAACGTCCAAATAGAAGCGCTTGTTTTGGATGTCAACCCGCTTCGACGCCAGCTCTTGTGTCTCATGCTGGAGCCCGGAAGCCGAGCCCGCCCCTCCTGTCGCTAGGTGCATGGAACCGAAGCCTGGGCCCGTGGCTGCTCCTCCCTGCTCCCTTCCACTGTCTCTGTCCGCCATGATGCTGCCTGCCTGCCTTCTCCCTCTGTCTGCTGCTAAGCCACGACCAGCTACGGCGATCACCGGAGCTCTCGCGAGATCTACAAAGAAGGTATAAGAGACGAGGGAAGCCGTTATTGCAGAGTCGGGATGTGTGTTTTCATGTCATACGCTGTAACCGGCTGCTGTGAGTTGTCACTTATAATACTGAAACGAAACCGACCGTTGTTTGGAAGAAATGCATCTCTCCCAGTCTGGTTAAGTTTCGATTTATTGGTACAGCCTTCGAGAATGAGGGGGTATTTGTTAGGCTACCTGGAAAGACCCTAGCTTGCCCTCTGTAAGTCAGAGCAGAAAATACCTAACATGTCATTTCTAAGTAGCACCTAATGTGACGTGCGTCTATATAGGCTATATGTAATGTGCTAAATAAATTTACAAACGAATAATTAGATGTGATAACCTGACAAACATTGGAAGCATCCTTTGTCTTAGACTTTTGTTCAGAGATTCAAAATTGGGCCAAATTTAGGCTATTCATTTGCAAGTCATAAGGAAAACCTGTCTGTCAAGTGTCATTCTTTTATCGTTATCGTTTATCGTTTCGCGTCTTAAGGGGGTCAGTAGGCCTCAACGCTAAATATACACCTTAAACGTTTAACGGAATTGTGTTAGACTAGAAATAAAATAGACCTAATAAAGTTTATGATGATAGGCTAAGGCTAATAAACATGAGTGAATAATTTATTTTCTCAACAACAGGTCTGTAACCTCATAGGCTAACAGGGCCTGGTTTATAGTTCACCTTAAGCTTTATCAACCTTCTTAAAGGTTGTCCTCTAAAATCGCACATGCATTATATTTTATTAAGGCTATTTGAAAATTAGACATTGCTCGTTTGAATAATAGGCAACATCTTCCCGGTTATTTCCCTACGTTAAAATTAGTCTTTACAACTCGGATTGTTTGCGGCATGACAGTGACGAGCGTATTGCCAGAACATACTGGGAGAAGGGCGGCCAGTGACCGCTTACCCTACAGACTATTCATGGTTTTAGGAATAGCATTATGATCTAAGGATGCAAGGATAAGGCTACCTTATGTGTCTGCTTGATATCGTCAAAGCAAAGTCTGTCTCTTACCTCTGGTTAGATGAAAAGCGTTACATATAGGTCTATCCATCCTGTTTACTCACCCCGAGAGGTTTCAGAGAAGGCGTATAAAACCCGACTGTGTCTTTCCCTGATGGGCACTGTGGCTTTGGTTAACTTCAAGTCATTTAAGATGCAAAATCTCCACGGGGATTTAAAATAGTAGTCATCAAAACATCCATTAAAAAAATAAAACATTAAAAACCACTGCCGATTATAGGCCTTTGGTCCATACAAAGCATTGGGCGCGTTCACACCGGCCACGTTTCATTTATATTCTGGCCTTGGTGCAACTGTGAAGAAGTTTTTTTTTTCCACCAGTTATCTCTAACAATCATCTGTTTTATGAATTCATTCCACACCCAGTCAGGAGAGCCATCATCACGCTTTATCATCAGACCTGAGCCAAGTGCCCTGGTTTGACCGGGGTGTAGCAGGTGAGTGGCCATGCTGCTCACAGGCCTACAGGCCTACATCTTCATTGCTTTGGCTGCACTTCGGGCCAACATGCAGACGTCGCACAATGTTAACTGTGCCACAGCTACTTTTTTTTTTAATCGCATGGCCAAATAATTGTTGGATAAGATTGCAAAAAGGGCCTATTGTTCATCATTTGCGGTGCTCTTATTTAGCATCTCTAGACGTTTGTAGGTTACAGCACAGGCTGTTATTGTAGGAAACAGCACAGTCTGCCCATGTTTAAGTGTAGGCCCACACATTCTTAGGCTGTTACTTCATATAGATGATGCTGTGGTCTAACTATTGCACACTTCCAAGGCGATGACCAAGCCTACAAATAGCGGACCAAAAAAAAAAATCTCACTTCAGATTTTGAGGAAATTCAAAGTTGAAGTAAATTATAATTGTGCATGTATTTATTTATTTATTTATTTATTTATTATTCAACAAATGTTATTACGACATTTACCTTGTATTGGTCACTTGTGCAAATACTGTTCCCATGCTGGCGATATTCTCTCCACAGTAATAAATCTTCCTTCTGGTCCACCTGGAAACAAATTTGATCGTGCAGACCTTTCACTTCATCCGTTTTTATTGATGAGGTATTTCCGTGAATCCCCACACATAATTTCTGAACGTTTTAATTTCTTTATATAACTTTGGCATTTCTGACTTATCATATTCTAAATAAATAGTCTTTTTTTTTTTTTTGGAAGAACAAAGCTAGAGTTTTATATGGCTCATTAAACCAGCAGTTTGTATGCATGTGCAAAACGGAGGCTATTTCTGTATAATTCATAAGCCAATAGTTTGTCAATAAAGTCGTTTAGAACATTCATAAGACACAGTGCGATAAAACGTCAACAGTAATATTAATATATGACTGTCACGTATATTTTAGTCCATCTTTGTGACAGATGTTACAACATTTAACTCCTTCCTTCTCCCGTTTAAGATCGACATGTCCAGGTTAGGCCTTTAAGAGTTCCGCCCCTAACTCCTCAAAGTCAAATACAAAGTAGTCAAATCAAGTAGAAAGGATGCTCCTTTGTTTAAACTCAACACTCATTCACTGCTTTTTATAGCCACTATTCGTTATACAGTTCACAAATGTTCATTTTAAAATAAATGGAGAGCAATGATTTGTAAATAGTTTTAAAATTTAAAACGTCATTTATTCTACTAATAATAGATGGACCAGCTGTATGAAATTTTATCTGTGATAGTTTTTTCCCTTCGGGGTTTTGTGATCTTTGTGAGCTTTTTTTTTCCCCTTTGTGCAAATGATTTTTATCACATTGACAGACTTGAATAAGAAAGAGACAAAGTTACTCCTCAACATGGACATTTCTTCTGGAAGCGTCCCAAAAGCAGTTTGAAGGCCTTTGGAGTTCAGTCATACAGATTCAGTCTAACCCAGAAACTGAAACACTTCACATCTATTTACACTTAGAAATGCTTCTTTTTATTTATAGATGCTTACAGCTCTCGATTGTTTTCACACATACAGTATTAAGAGACACACAGGCTATTATATTAAATGTTATTAGATGTCAAATGCTGCTTTCTCCCTTGTTCAATTCAAAATATTCAGTAGGCTAACCTTTTGTAAATAAGGCTAAAACTTGAAACGCTGAAATATTCCAAAATAATTAGCCTATATGCTATAAGATAAGACAATATCCAATGCACAAGTGTAGACTGTGATATTAAGTAATAATGCTGAAGAAATGCAGAGGTGAAGTCATTATTTCCATTTTATATTCGTAATTATTCGGCCACAGCAATACAAGAAAAAAAGTTTTTAAAAATTATGTTAGAGAGGTGAAATATTTGAATTAATTATTGATAATGTAGCAACCATTATGCTGTGAAATAAGTAACGTTCATTTATTGAAAGCCAACAGTCCAAACCCTTTACTCCAAAACTACGGAAGCTGCCCTGCTTTCGATTAAATTTGTTCTGCTGTCCAACTCTGTATGTAAGGCGAAGTCCACGGCGGCTTAAACGGGTCTTTATTAACTCAGTTATTTGATCTACTTTGTGTTGTGCTATATAAAACTACTCTATGTTCCAAGGTCTTATTGCTTCCAAAGGTCGCCAGGGCTCCGGATCATCTTCACAGCAATCGTCACTTCTTGTCACACAAAACTCAGGCCAGTGTTTGGGGTAAGTAACAGATGAGTAAATGAATGGTGATCTCAGTGAGGTAAAGCAACAATGGATTAAAATCAAAAACGTTTTTGACAATGTAAAAAAGATGTCCGTTTATTCTTATGTTATGCATGATGTGCCACATGGGCTTCTTATAGAGAAACTGATGCTATGGTTGGTGAATTTCGCCTTATAGTGAACTTTCCTTGGAGCTATAATATTGTGTGTCTCGTTGAATTCGTTTGAGTCCAAGCTTTTAATTCTTTAAGTGAATTTCTTTCTATTGCTGTTATTAAAACAAAGCTGCAGCTGCATCATCCTGCCACTCTTCTTTGAAATGCTCTTTCTTTTCTTTCAACTAGGTAGATGGATGCGATTAACACGGATTAATGCGAAGGTGAGCACTGCTATAAAACTTACTGTGACTCAAACGAGCTCTTGGTGTTTTGCATGTGACCTGTAATACCCCATCTCCTCTTTAGGCCCCAATTTCCCATCAAAAATGCCCGTGTGCAATTGTATCCAACTTTTTTTTTTTTTGTTGTTTTTTTTGGCCATGGTACAAGTTAAACCTTTGTTCAACCTACTTCCTAGAGTGTAAAGATCCCCTCTCGGTCAGTGGTTTATCAGCTGCTCCGTCAGACCACAAACAACCTGACAGTTTAAATAATCTATCATCAGTGGGCGGGTACTTGGCCCATTTTTCAGATCAATTTTGAATAGCGTAATGAAATATGAATCAGAAAAAGGCGTCATGTTTGGATGCCGATGCCACTTCCAAGGCAGAATTCGGCCTCAAAAATGTGTTGTCGTACTTTGTAAAAGGCCGCTGGTGTGTTCACATCACAAAGTTTTGCCCTACATCCCAGCACAGGAATGCTGTGGCGCAGCTTCAGAGCAGGCGCACGGTGCATGCTGTATGTTATGCTTCTCTAAACTCTGCGAAGCACTGGCTGCATGTTAGGACACTTAAATGCTGCAGGACAGTTGCAATCGGAATGACATGTAAATAAAGCGTCATCCCACCAAGCGAGATTCTATGACCTACCTTACCCCGCTCAGTCAGCAGGCGGAGCGCCTTAAAACCTGGACGGCGTGCCGCAGAAGACGAGACAAGGGAAAAGACGCATGTGAATATTGTCGTAGCCTTTATAACAGCACAACCGACTGCGTCTGCTTCTGCTCGGTGCACAAGATGGAACAGAAACGGCGAGTCGTGGCACGGAGAGCGACACACGCACAAGTTCAACGCCGCACGTCTCACCTCTGATGTCAACACGCACTGTGGGAACTCAGTAGACATGCGCCTCCGTTTGGTGGTATTGAGGAACTGCAGCTTTGCCTTGTTCTGATCGTAGCGGGAAGAGCAACATATTGGGCAAATGTAATGGAGGGAAGTGTCTGAACATTACATCTTTAGACACTGCACCGTACGGGTACAGTTGTGTGTGCACCTTTGTGTCACAACAGCATGGCTGAATCTTCCATGGAAACAGTTTTTCACCCGTACACATGCCCTGTTCTTCTGGTCTGTGTTGGTGTTAGGAGAGTCGGTTAAAAAGCACACTGGCAGTTCTTGTTACAGGTAGGAAGACTTCAGTTAACACAATAAATGACTGTATGCCTGTATCTGACATCAGCATTCTATGGGCTTCATTTAAAGCTTGTAAAAATTCAGCACCACGGAGAGCAACCAGGTCTGTGTCAGGTCTGTGTCAGGTCTGCAGGGCACGCACATAAATTAAAATATAAGTAAATGTTTAGGTTCAGGTGCATTTTATAAATGTACCATGCTGTTATAAATGTACAGTATAGGCATAAGTTTGTTTTCAATCTTATTGGCTTCCCTTTAGTGTAACAAAATCCAAACGTGTTTCCCTTATAGACCACTGATAACACGGCTTTCAGTCCACATCGAGAATATTTTGGCACCTGCTTTCTATATATTAGTGTGTGTGGTGTTTGATTTACAGCAAGTAATTGCTCATAAATACGGTGTGGTCAGCAGATGTCGCTCTTTGTGAGTTCTGTCAGTTCAACATCCTATATCCGCATTCAGTTTGGTAGGCCTATTTAGACAACTTGACCTAAACACCGATAATCAAATGTGTTGCTCTTCCTTTGTGAAATGATGTCTTATTTAGGTCTGTATTGTCAAATTGATCGCTCAGAGCCATAATGTGAACACATGAACCTACATTAAGTCGGAAAACCCCAGAGAAGCGTACTTTCACTGAATTGTCTCACTCTGCAGTAATCCAAATATTCTTGTCTTTGTCTTGGACCCCACTATTGCAGCTGTTTTAGCTGTATGGATATGATGCGCTGCTTCAACATCAGTTTTTTCAGAGACAGAGCAGAGAATGTGACCTGAATGCAGGGCATGGCTTTATGAGATGAGACGCAAAACTCATTCAAAACAGTCTCTTGAAGAGTCTGAAATGCTTTCGCAGCTTTAGTCATCGCAACCATATGAATTGTCTAGGCCCGCCGGACTGAAAATGCGGCTGCATTTTTTTCAATGTGAACCTGTTTCATTTTGGAGTAATGACTTGACAACAGTAAGATGCGATTTTGAGGAGGGAGAGTCATGGATTTAGGATTCCGCGCTTTTCATTACAACGTGAGATTGCCGCTGATAAAACACCATGACATAGGCTACAGTAACTGGGTTTTGGGAGTGAGGAGATCGACCCTTTGGTCCATCGGTTGCCTGTATCCCAGTGCTCCAGCCCTGCGTTTTTGTTGACGGGGCCCCTTGGCAATCGGCTTATTTTCTTTCCGTCTGTGGCTAGAGGGGGAGGCGGAGAGAGAGCCGCGGTGGAAGGCGGCGTATTAGCGTTAGGCTATAGCTGCCGACCACAAATGTTATTTTATTTTCTGGAATGAAACGTGGCTTTTGTTTTGCGACCGGACTACCAAACTTGTGGTTCACTGCAGCATTTTGCGTCTTTTCCCTCCGCTGCAGATGATAGCCTACAGAAAAGCATCATAGCCGTACCCCACCACTGCAATTTTTGGGCAAAGATAAGAGTGGCGTCGTCTTGCAGTTAAGGCTACTGTGGCAGCATAGGGGGCATCTTCTGGAGGGGAGAATCCGCCAATTTTTTGCTTAGTCTATCTACAATGCCTTATTATTAGCGGAAACAGTCACCGGATTTGAAACCCAGCATCATCCCGCGGTTTCCCCGTTTTCAAAGCTGCTGTTTACCCATTGAAAATCACTGAAGAACGCAGCGGATCCCGATGGCATGGACACTTATGCAAGGTCTGCCGCGCTGCCGTGCTACTGGAGCCTTCTTGCTGTCTCTTCATTCAACCCAGCTCCATCGCCATCGCCCCGCAGCCGAGAGAGCCCTGCCGCAACGCGAACAGCGACCACCGAGCCAAAGCAGGCGGCATGAGGCTTGATTCAGTACATTTATCCATGCTGGTCATCGGGGTCTCATTCGCCTGCTACTCCCCGAGTTTGAATTCCCTGCAGGACCAGGCTTACAAATCCGCCGTGGTGATTGAGGGCAAGGTGCAGTCTACGCCTGTGAACATCTCCGCGGAGCCGTACCGTGTGAATGTCAAAGTGCTGGATGTTTGGCCTCTAAACAGCGGAGGTCTGGAGCGAGAACAGCTCGTCACCGTGGGGGAGTTTGGATCTGAGGCGCCGTGTACCAAAGTGAAGAAGAACCACAAGTACATTTTTTTCATGGACCCCACTGAGGAGCCTTTGGTTTTTAAGGCATCATATGCGCCTCTAGACACAAGTGGAAAGAACCTAAAAAAGGATGTTGGGAAGATCTTGTGTGAGGACTGCGGTAAGTTTATGTATTGTGGACTACCGGTGAAGTCCAACCCGGAAGAATGCTGTTAACAGCCCCTGGTCTAGGGCTTTTGGTAACGGGCACTCTGGTGAATTGTGGTTATTATGGACATAGCATGGTTTGGAGTCTGTGGGTGCCAGACAGGTGCCTAAAGGGCGTCTATGCAGCAATTTTCGACAACTCTCGCAGGCTCCTATAGCCCTCATGATCAATCAAACTCTCTTTCTCTCTCCGCTTCTCTCTCTGAGCTGCATCAGACATGCGCCTCGCACTGTTGCTTGTGAGGAATTGCAGTTTTTGTATATCGAACTATCTGCAACCTGCAAACCCCGCATTATTCTTTATACGTTTAGGCACTTTGCAACCCATCTCTTAATTCCCTGACCTCATATAGCCAACAGATTTCTGTTTTACAAAAATGTTTCAGCTTCTTAGCTTTATGAGCACCGAGCAGATTCATTCCATTCATCTAGTACGATTTCAGGACCAGGGACAGCAACCTGTGTCACCCGTATCACGTGTGGAAAACCATGCTGCCCTCAGCTAATTAGTTCTTAAGCCATATTTAGGCTTTAATGCTTTAACGTCCCACACTTTGGCTTACATCTCGTAGTCCACGTTAGCTTCAGTGCATGAAGAGGGTTAGCAGTGTGTGTTGCAAGTCCTAAACTGGAATTGATGGGGTTGTTGCTGAAATTTTCAAGTTCAGGCTTGGACTTTGGTCAGTAGATGTCGCCCTTAGGGAGTGATTTAAAATTCACATCAGGCACATTTTATTTATTTATCTTTTTTAGTATATTCATTGTGAATGATGATATTCACATATTTGATTTACAGTCATGGCCAAAAATATTGGCACCCCTGCATTTCCGTCAGATAACGCAGTGCTTCTCCAAGAAAATTGTTGTAATCACAAATTCTTTGTTATCCTCATGTTTATTTCTTTATTTGCATCAGAACAACACAAAAAGCAAAGAGGGAAAAAAAAGCTAAATCTGATACATTCGACACAGAACTCCAAAAATGGAAACAAGTATTGACACCCTCAACTTAATGTTTGGTAGCACACCCTTTGGACAAAATAACTGAAATCAAGCGCATCCTGTAACCATCAGTGATTTTCTCACACCTCTTTACTGGAGTTTTGGACCACTTTTCTGACTGTACATGGACATGAATTTCATAAATGAAAATCAAGACTGATAACTTTGTGGAACTATACAACTAGTTAATTAATTAGCCTACACTGCAGCATGCTGTCGCACTGATGTTGGTGTAGTAAGCTGCATACAGATATGTTAATTCCTGTGCATGGAGGCACAGAAATACATCTTTATTATAAAACTGTGCATTGTCCAGTGACAGAATTCATGGGTCACTAGATTTGCAAGAGCCACTTGTCAAAAGCACTAAATCCAGAGAGTTTTCTTGCTCTTCACCATCATAAAACGAGTCTCTGCTACATTAATTATAAAGCAGTGTCCGTGTCACCTCTCAGAGCTTGTCGGTGAGGCACTCTTTTACTTGGGTCCCCAGCCCATGCTTCTATACTGGTCAGCCTGCATCACAACTTCAAAATGTGAGGCAGCTCCTCTTCTGTGAATTTATTGAGTCAATTTGACCGTATGTCACACACACACCCACAAAAATCTTGCCACCATTTTATGCTACACACAGTTGTATTTCCTCTTTGGTGTTGTGAGCCATCATGTGTGCCCTGTACTGCTACCTTTGAAAATACTTTTACCATATTCTCATGAGACACAAATGCTCCCTTCTCTTCTTAATTTTGCCACAGTGGCTTTTAAATTTATCATCCCACTAGAAAGATAACAGAAAACTGACCTTATAATCTCTTGAGCTCCTTGAAGGGATCAGCGTCTCCCCCCCAATCAATTCATCTGTCACTTAGCAAAGCTCATCAGTGATCAAACTGGCAGGGCCACCTGAGAGGGTTGCCACACCCACTTGGACCACTGATCTCTTTTATTTTGTTCAAGTACCAAACAACATAGAGAGCTCATATTGTTCTACTGGGTCATTGCATTTCAGAGGATTCCTATTTAGAGTAATTGATCTCATGACTGTTTGTTTTCTAAAGCCATGCTATTTTAGCCTGCTGTATCCTGCAGACAGACAAACAGTCACTCTCTTGACATCCTTTAGTCCCTTTGAGGTGCCTTTTCATTCTGCAGGGACTAAAGATCAGCTGTGTTCTGCTGACTGTTTCTTTCCCTCATATTCCCTAACATGATATGGTGCATCAATATTATAGGCCATTATGTCCTGGCCATGAACCGTAAACCACTGCCTATGCAGTTTTGTCTGGGCCTGAACATTGATTCCAGGCCCACTTAGCACACAATCCAAGACTGCCTTGTGCTGAAGTACACAAGCTCCCATGTGCCTGGACCAGGGGACTGGGTGTACATACTGTACAGCTCTCAAAGTGACACAGTTATTGTCTCTCAAGAGCTGCCTGAAGAACAAGCATACACCACGTAGCACCTGTACCCCCTCCTCAAAAATTAAAAAAAAGAAAAAGAAAGTACAGTGTAAACTGAAAACATCTCAGTCAAGAACTGTATCATGATGTAAACACACAACAGCAAGTGTTTTGCTGGAAGTCTAGTGCTGCTTTGTGACAAGTCACTGATGATAGCAAAACACTGCCATGTTTATGGAAGTGCTTAACCAGGATTCTGACATCTCTGTAAATGTGTATGTATACATACACATTTTTGCCCATTTCTCATCATAAGTGACAGAATCAGAGAGGACAGCTGAAGTTAGCATATGCCTTCTATTACCAGACTTGATCATGTGCTGTGTTATATGCTATGTACTGCTTTTCTTTATCAAGACTTAATGAGATGAGATGACACAAAAGAAAAGAATATGACATTTGCCTTAAAGAGAGTAGACATGTTTTCACTTGGAATGGAGTCTCACATTGCTCCACTTTGAACTGAAATTTTGAATATGTCACATCTGTCTTTTAGCTCTTATTATTTAGAATAACAATGGTATTTATGTCTCAGTCTAAACTAAAACTCTGTGTAATAAAACCGATGTGGTAGGTGAGGCCCATGGAGTCTGTGCTTAGACATAACTGCATTTCGTGTGTGCAAGTGTGAGGGTGTGGGCAGACTGGTGGGAGTGTTAACGCTACAAATCAGTGTAACACATGCAAAAAAGCAGTGATGGAAAGTAACTCAGAACATCTACTCAAGTACCGTACTTAAGTACAATTTTGAGGTATCAGCACTTGAGGAGTTTCATTTTGTGCTACATTATACTTTGACTTCACTACATTGTAGAGGCAACCATTGCACTTTTTACTCCGCTACATTTATTTTATAACTTTAGCTACAAGTTACTTTTCAGAACCAGATTAATACAAAATTGCACTTTAGTAAGACTTTATTGATCTCCAGTGGAAAATTCACAAGCAAGTATGTTATGATGCTAATATTCATTCATTCATTCATTCATTCATTTTCTACCGCTTAGTCCCTGAACGGGGTGGGCCGGAGCCAATCTCGGCTGGCAATCGGGCGAAGGCGGGGTACACCCTGGACAGGTCGCCAATCCATCGCAGATGATGCTAATACTTTTAGACTTTTGTTTAAGTAACATTTTGAATGCCGGACCTATTTGTGACACAGTATATTTACACAGTGGTAGTGCTACTTTTACTTAAGTAAGGGATCTTAGTACTTATTCCACCACTGCAATGAAGGTCATCTGAGTCGAGGAGTAACATATTGTCCTGAAATCCCCTGCTTATTTGTAATTAACACATGTGTAAATCATTCTCACTTGTGGGTTTGTTTATTTATATTACAAATGAATGTAACAGTGTTATTGTGAAACCACCCTCTTTCACTAATCTGCCACTGTGAAGTCCCACTGCATGCAGGTCTCAGCTGCTGTACTGAAGGGATAGACAGGAAGATTTTTGCCCTAAGCTACCAGATGCATCTTTCTGTGAACTGAGAGAGATCCTTAGAAGAGACAGACATAGAACATGAATGACAGCTGCTGATGGGTACTGGGTTCTGCTTTCCCCCAACAAGTGTGTCTGTCAGCAGTATGAATCAACATGCATCTTCAGGTTGGTCATTATACCCTGATAGCACACTCAAGGGCAATTTAGCAGGTGGTTGTTGATTGTGACAACGGTGCTCATTCACTATATTTCGCCGTCAAGATTATTGTTGTGTACAGGATGCGTGTCTGTTTAGATAAGAATGATTGAAGTGTTTTCAACTGTCAGTGCTGTAGTGTCTCCAGCCAAGGGCACAGGTACAGTACAGGCTAATGAGACAGGCTAGCAGGAAGCATGGATTGTTTTGATTGATGTTGTACTGTACGTTAATGGGGATTGTTTTCTATGTTCACTGTGTCGAAATTCCTCGCTGAATTTCCCCTTTGCTTCTCTACTCTGACAAGAAAGCTTGATGTATATTTATAAGATGTATGACTAAAGGGCATGGCCATTCTCTCCAACTGGCTGCTCCTTTTCCTTTTCTAAGCACTTTCTAACAGTCACTCACCCTGGTTCTCCACATTTTCAAAAACAGAACTGTACAAGCTATTATCATGACAGAGTGAGCATATTAGGTCTCCATCTTTTATGTCTGCAAAAGTCACAGTTCTGCATCTGGCACCAGTTTTCACGGTTGAGCTCAGGTTTATGGATTCAGGTCAGAGTTTACACCTGTTTGCAGAGCATAGCTGTTACAAAGCAGATGTGCGCTGATGATTTACAATGAATAAGTGTTGTGTCTGGCGCTTTTCAGTCATCGGACTTTTAATCAAATCAGGAATATGTCATTAGGTGGTGTTTGTGGTTGTGGTTATTTCACAAAGTGTCGACACCAGTAACTAAGACTAACCAAACGGAGCCTCTATCTTTTCACAGTCTTACTCTGAATGTGTTGAACTTTTAGTAAAGATGTAAATAAACAAACATATTTATTTGCGTTGTA